GTTGAAATCTCTTTAAGTGTTATTTTAAATTTTTACGACTATATCACTCTAAATTTAATATGAAAATATAACTATAAGGTTGTGTTAGGTGACTTTTTAAAAGTGTTTTTAATACTTATAATTTCTCATATACTTTTAAAAAAAATAGAATTTAGAAACCGCCTCACCAATACCTCTACCACCACCGCCCCCACCACAATCACTACTACCACTACCGCCACCCCACCCACCACCACTATTGCCACCCTACCACACCTATAGCCCCACTAACACCGTCACTACCACTACCATTGCCCCCTTCACCATCATCTCTTCCACAACAACTACCACCACCGCCCCTATCACCTCCACTATCGTAACCCCACCACCCCCCCTCCCATTGGTGCCCCACGACCACCATCATTACTGCCATCTTACCACCATCGCCACTATGGTACCATTACCCTTACCACATCACCCTCAATGCCCCCTAACCACCATCACTGATTAACTATCAAAATTATTATTTTTATTATATTTAATGATTGGTTAATTGCATATTATTTGTAATTAAATGTGTTGAATTATTTGATTTTCTAGTTTTAGTATTTTTTCTAGTTGTTTGGTTTATTTTGCAGGTAATTTGGTTGATTTAAAGTAATAATGGATAAGGCAAGTAAATCAATCATTAGAGGAAGAATCACAACTAATAAGGATTGAAGAGTCAATATTGAGATGGGAAGACTTGAAGATATGACAGTAATTTAATTCTTATAAGAGTCTAAGATGGAAGAAAACTCATTTAAAGTTGGATTAGGAAAGTATCCTAAAAGAATAAGGATTTGACACGTCTTCAATATTTTGATCATAACTTTTGACTCTGATATCTGGTTTACTTGATTTTTGGGGATTGAAAAGAAGACTCCAAGTGCTACAAAAGTATATTTCACGAAAATTTCGTGATTTAGCTTCTAAATATGCACAATTCAAGCTCGAAGTCTAGACAGATTTTGTACCCGCGCCCCAAAGATTTTATGTACGGGATTTAACCTTACAAAACTTCTCTTTTAAAAGGAATTCCTTCCAAGACAACCTTATATCTTCTACCTATACTTAGGATTTATTTTTAGTATAAATAAAGGTTCTCATCTAGGATTTAGGAGATGATTCTTTTCTCATCTAGTTTTAGTTTGTCATGTCTTACTAGAAGGCTAAGTTAAGGCTAGGGGAGAACCTCTTAATGAAATACGGTAATGTTATTGATTATGAGTTTAATGATTTATAATATTTTGTTAATTTAACTTCTGATCTTATAGCAAATTTTTTACTCTGTAAAAATCCTTGAGTTGTTGTGTCATGTACATCGATTGCTTGAATTTCCCTGCGAGTAAATAACTGGTTATTCCATGCTTGAGGTAATTATTATTATTTCATAAAATAATATAATTGGAAGATTATTCAGGTTCTTAAATAATCTTTTGATTATAACTTTTGATTTTCTTACTTGATTTGTTATTTGAATCAATCGACATCTGATTCTTGTCTCAAGTTAAGTTTTGAGTTATTAATCATTATTGTATGAAAATTGAGAGCGAGTACCTGATACTCTAGTATTTTTGTTACTGTTTTAATTACTCAAATCAATATTTTCTCAACTCAACAATCTCTTAAATAAATTGTTCTTACAAGTTTGTTTTTTATTTGTTTTGTGTCTCTTGTTTTTCCAATTCTCTGTGGTTCGACCTCGAACTCCCGAGAAATTTATTACTTCACACAACCTGTACTTAGGTGATCAATTCTAAAGTTGTAGCAATCACCATTGTCACCTATAGCTGCCACCATTGCAACCAGTTGTTATTATCTATCACAACTATCACCATCTCGCACCACCATTATTGCCGTCCACCATCACTACCACTGCTCGCGTCCTACTATAATCAGTGCTTAAATTTTTTTATTTCTCATTTATTTTTGTAATTTAATTTTAAGTATGAATGCAAATATGTGTATTATTGACTTTTTTTTATTATTCTGTTTCTTCATACGAAAAATAACTTATATATATATATATATATAAAACGTTGGACTGGTCCCAGAATAATAATATGGTCAGCACCACATGTGACAAGTGGTAATCTAGTCTAAGATTCTTGTATACAATCTGACAAACATTTAGATTTGATCCCAGATATGTTCAAGAAGTTAAGTGAATCATTGTTACAACTTGTAACGGTTCAACCGTTAATTGCCTTTAACCAGCTGCCACATCAACATCACAAAATTAATATCACACCCCCAAATTGCTAGCAACATACTCACAAGTCTTGGATCTCTAAAATTTTTGAAACAGTGGCTTTGGGAATGGAATTTTCTCCAATATATTTTGATTTTAATTTTTTTTGTTGACAAATTACTTAAAACGAACTCAAGTGAAATTTATTGTATATAAGTGAATTCTTCACTCACTCATTATTACGTTCCAACAAAAATACAATAACCAACACAGGGATTTTAATTAACTTTTGAAGCTCATCAAACAAACAATCAGAATGGTCTTCTTGCAAAAAAAAAAATTCAAATTCTAGAGCCTGAAAAATGTAATGTAATAAAACTTACTTCATTAATATGATCAAATTGGTCTTTTGAATTTTTTTGAATTCTGATCCGAACTAAGAAAATAAAATTTATCGAATAACTGGATTGGAAGGTAATACAATTTAAATGCATGGTTGTGTGGCCACGAGAGAGGAGTTACAGTATCAAAAGTCAAAGTAAAAAAAAAAAACAATTTGAAAAACATATTTTTGACTGAACTACGAAAAAGATTAGTTGAGGTACTCCGTAAGTTAACTCAGGCACTCCTTATGCATTTACAAGTGTGTGGATCAAGCTAATTGTATAGAGTGTTCTGTTTGGATCAAGCTAATTGTAGTCACAATCAGCTTAATCTAGCAATCCATCCGAATTAATTTATTTAAGACATCTATTTATTTATAGTTTCTAGAATTGGACTTTTGTTTGGCTAAGAAGCTGCTAGAATCCAACCTAGATATAACATGAATTAGTCAATAAAGGCATTCGAATGGATAATCATTGCTCTTTTCAATAAAAAATGTGTTAAAATTTTGAGTACAGTTACGGGATTGACTTTGACCTCACACCTCTATCAACTTCAACTATTCACTTTGAATTTAATGATTTATAATGATTCATTGAAAAATAATAATAAAAATTATGTAATAAAAAATTATAGCTGTTACATATTTGTATTAATTAAAAAGTTTCAATATTATACCGAAACGAACGAGTGTCCGAAAATATAACTAATTACAATGTTACTTTTAGTTTCGTAAATTTTTTTTTTTTGGTCAGGTAGCAAGAAAAGAGAGTCGACATATAGGTAATAAACATCTACATGTGACTATGAGAATCCATCACTGTTGAATATCCGATTCTAATGTCGCATTTGAAAACCCTTTATTTATAGTAATGTGTCAATTCTCTAACTTTCCAATCCCCGACAAAGAATCGAATGTCAAATTTGGCCAATCCTAATATCACTCGATGTCATTACCATGCCAACATGTACTTCCCTGATTCTTATCACTTGTGATGAATGTGTATATGCCTATTAATTGATTGAATTTTTGCCTCAATCTACTTAGATTCTGAATATGATCAGTAAGAAATGAAATGATATTTTCGATTGATTATCTGAATTCAATATTAAATTTGTTATGCTATATTTTACGAATTTATATTTAGTCATATCAATATTTGATCCAATTATAATTTCACGTGTATGTCAAAAATGATATAAATTTGTGTGATTATTCGATAAAATTGGGCAAAAATAAAATTTTAATTAAATTATTCGAATTCAAATCGGATAAAATTCAATTCTTTTGACTAGATGTGAAAGCGCCCTTGTTCTAGCCAGTCATTTTTTTTTTTTGCTGCATCGGTGAAAATAAATAAAAGCAAGCTTGATTCAATAATGCTTCATTGTCCTTGTTAAATGTAACTGCAAAGAGGAGAAATGTCGGCTAAATGACACACTTTCGTAAATTTGAAAATATATTTACATTGACTTCCCACGGACAAGCAACTAGGAGCCGGCATTAGCTTATCCACATCAAACATGACACCCAAACAAAAAAAAGAAAGAAAGAAAGAAGACATAGCAAATTTAAGGAACCACCTTGTCTTCGTATGCAAGGTTGGTCTTTATTTTGACATTCATATATATTAGATCAAGATTCCTCGAATTTTTTTTTTTTTATTTCTCAACTTGGTAGACCATCTATCGTGTGTCAGTGGAAACCCATATATATTTAATGAGTTTTACTTCCATGCACGATAAATAATTTACTAAGTAAGAAATAGAAAAAAGAAAATATGTATATATTTGAGATAACCTCACCTTACATGCACAGCCCCATAAAAGTAATTTCACGCAGTGGAACTTATTCTTGTAGCCAAACTATGTGATCTCCAAAGAGTTTGGTGCCCAACTGCACCACATATTCATTCTCATTCCCGGACCAATACATTCTTAGGGAGTCGCCAACCTGAAGATTCTTTGCCACGGCAAAGTCATGCCAGTCCCACGTCAGAGCCCGCCGCCCACCCCTCCTCTCTGATGCTATAAACTCATACTTGGTTCCGGCTTGGTCACGTACAATCATGACTTCATTCCCGGGTGGTAGAAAAGACGCACCGTTAGGTATCTCTAAGTTACGTTGTACATCTGATCTCGTGAGAGATTCTTTTGTAAAGCATAAAAATTCTGGTTCCATTTCTCCCCAAGTTCCCAAACCTAAAGAAAAAAAGATGGATTAGAATTAATTTGTGAATATGAGGAAAAAGATAAATGCATGAGTAGAAATGAAGTCCGGTTCTCTTATGGACCATTTCCGTTGTGTATGTGTGAGTGAGTAAGTGAGAGATCGAGAGATCGAGAGAGAGAGAGAGAAAAGAAAGAGAGAATGCTACTAGTAAAGCAGTGAAGTGAGGTTCTGTGGGAGAAACAGAGATTTGCTTTACTTCTTCTTTCGCTATACTTGATGGTTTTGCATTTGAGTGCAAATATATAATAGCTCACGTGGTCTTCTGACGTCACTTTATGCACCTCACAAGGCTATATTTTGATGTCACTCCAAGATAAAAATATCTTCTTTGATTGAACATAGTTGAAACAAATAATTCAAACCAACCCCCACTTTATTTAATAAAAAAACAAAAGACAAAAACTCAACTGATGATACCAGCCATACAATGTCTTTATCCAACAGCTAATCCTCTCATAGTCACTATAAAAATTGTACGGCACAAACAATTAATTTAATGATGTTTATGCCTTAGATTTCAGCTTACTTTCCATTAATGGATATGTAAATAAAATAATATAATCATGCACATGATGATGCCATCTTCCTTGGGAATTTTGACGCCATATGCAAAATATTGTTTGATTAAAAATTCGAAAAAAATAGTGATATCCCTTCTCATCCACACGTATTATTACCAATTAATAAAAAAAAATATCATGTAAGTTTGGTAAACCCTAATAATCAAGTATAGTAGTTTGTGTAGGTGGTCATTATTCATAATTATTGAATTAAGTAGGGTTCACAAGATTTATAAGAGATTTTATTACTAATTAATAATATCACATACCACTAAAAACGTGATATCACTATTTCATTGAATATTTTATCATCTCGGGGGCTTTTGTAGTCAAATAGAGGCTGCGGGTGACGTGATCTAGCGCCCATATGTAACCATACCAAGGCTTCTTTCATCTTCTTCTTCTTAACAAAAACACAAGTATAAAAAAGAAAAAAAAAAAAATCTTCTTCTGAACATTCTAGAGATATGACCTGATGACCACTGTTCCTAGTTTGAAATTCAGATCCTTCTGTCTTTGACTCCAAGAAAATACAGGTTCTAGATAGAAGACAAATGTAAAAAATCTAACAAAACATTGCTGCAGAGCAGTTGATATATGGAGTTTGAAGCATTTTAACCACCACTTACCATTCATGGATGCTCATAAAGTAACATGCATGCCTGATAAAAGAAAGCAGCCTAACACAAACGTACAAAATCCATTGACAATTTAGTTATTGCATGATCATAGAAGTCAAAAAGTTATGGTTTATTAGCTCAAGTTGAGTGCCCATTCAAGTTTCCAAGACAACTGGTATTACAGCTGTAATGGAGGTGCACAGCAATTTGGATATGGCTATGGTGGTGGGTTTTAGTTCAAGTTATTTATAGTCAATTTATTTCGATCCATTTTTTGACAAAGGGTATCTAAGGGTGAAAAATTACATTTTTTTTTTCAACGGTCAGTGGAATCCGAATCAACATATGTGTGTTTCAACTAATTCTCTTTCTGGTTCGATTAAAAGTGAGTCATCCATGCCAAAACTAAGATATTCGTAAAGAATAAATTTTGTATAATCTGACCTCAAAAAATTATTAAAATTCAAACTCAGAACGACTTAATTTATAATTTGTCATCATCCAAACTGGTCTTTTAAGATAAAAAAAAAATTATTAGAAAGAGTCTGAAAAAGACATCAAGTTTGCAATTGTCCAAAAAAAGACGGCCGTAATGTTTGACTAAAGTTTCTTAGCAGGAATTTGAAGTTGGATGAATGAACATCTGTTTCTCCCAATTATTTCGTTGCCCTTATTTTTGATCTCTTCTATAGAACGAACCATTAGTTTTGGACTATTTTATTATATTTTTATGTAATTGAGGGTGTAATATACAAATTATTATATTTAAGTGTATAAATTAAAATTTTAAAGATTTTCTAAGGTGCAAAAGTGTAATTAAATTACAACGTTTGCCATTACAAGTATGACAAGTGTCTACAATTAGGCGGCGGAGTTAAAGCAGAAAAGGACAGAAGTTGTCGTTTACCATTTTCAGGAAGGAAGTTGAAAATTACTCCTTTTGGAAAACTACAACCACTTTTTTTTCAAAAATCTGAGTGGTCACCGAATATTCCTTGTACGGATTCTCACGTGCATAGCCATGGGAAACGGTCCCCGCTTTTATGGGAAGTCGTTGTAAGAAAATCATGTGTCTAATGGTTCGTTTGGTTAAAAAAGGAAAAAGTTGGAATAATGAAAAATGGATGAAATTTTTTTTTCATTCTTAAATGGAAGAAATATATATTTTTTTATTTATATTTAGTATGATAGAGGAAAAATTAAAGGGATACATCTTCCTATTTTTGGTATTAGATAGAAAATTAGATGAAAAAAAAAGTATATATATATATATATACTAAATTTATCATTACACCCTTATATCTAAGCGGTGAATTTTTCCATAGTAATAAGGGCTGTGCAAAAAATTCGCAAGCCTGACCACTAGATTTATACGAATGAAAATGAATGACTAAAAATGATTCTTGTTTGGTTTCAGCACGAACTTCCTGTTAATTTTTTTTTGTCATACACCGAGACCATCTAAGGTTTGTCACTTGATATTAGATTTTAAAAGTACCAATATTTTTTGGATTAAAAAATATTGATATTTTTTATTTTTGAAAAATATTGATATATCTAATCATTACATTAAATATTTTAATAATTTATTTAAATCATCAATGGGAAGTGAAAGAGTTTTGTCTGCTACAAAGGGTAAAATAATCAATTTTCAAAAAATGTCATCTTTCCTTCACTTTTTCAGTCCATTTTTGGCCAAAAAATGGGGGGAAAGTTTGTGGTGGGCAATAGGGAAGACATCTCCCCTCCATTTTTCATTCCCTCCCATTTTCCTTCCATACCAAACAATGAAAAACAACTCCTTCTCTCCCACTTTCCTTCCTCTATTTTTCATCTTCCCTATTTTCCCTCGTACCAAACAAGGGGTAAATCAAAAGACGGCTCCTTTGTGGTCCATGTTGTTTGACTTAGATCACTTCAGATAGTACAACTTGATTTACTAGTTTTTTATATTTAGTTTATCTTTACTCCGCTCACTGTCATTTTTTAAATTGAATTATTTTTTAAATATTAATTAAAAATATTAAAATTATAAAAAAAATTAAAAATAACATAACTTTATACATGATGTATTCTTATTAGTTGAAAAATAAAGATACAAAATTTAAAAAGTATTTTCCAGTCTCATAATAATATCCATACTATAACTTGAGTAAAACAATTTGTCAAGTGACATAAGTAATGAAAAGACCTGGTGTCTTATATGTTTGCCTAAGAAATATTCATGTATTTATCAATATGTATACTATACTTACCTATATCTGATATATAAAATACATAATATATCAATAAGTTTATTACTACAACTTCAAAAGTGTAAACCCAAGCGTAGGTTATGCGAAATAATATATTTTTCAGATGACCGAGGTCGAACCCTTAGGGAATTATAAAAAAAAAAAAAAAACAGTAGAAACCACACTAAAATTCTGAAAAAAAAAACTTGTGAAGTTGTTGTGTTTTGAAAAAATATTTGAATTGAGAAAATTGATTAAATTAATTAAAACATAATGAAAAAAATACTAGAGCATCAGGTACTCCCTTTCAAATCTATACAATAATAATTAAAGACTTTTCTTTCAAACCTAGACAAGACTCAAGTGTCAATTCAAGTCACCAAGTTTAACAATAACACCAAGAAAAACACCTTTATTTATAATCAAAAGTTTATTCAGGAAGTTGAGCAATCCTCAAATTATATTATTATATGAAATAATGGTAATCAACTTAAGTGTGAAATAATCAGTTATTTGACTCGTAGAAAAATTCAAGCAATCAATGTATAAGAAACAATAACTTAAGAATTTTTACAGAGCAAAAATTTTACTAAAAAAATCAGAAATTGAATTAACAAAATTTCACATATCATTAAACTCATAAGTTAATAACATTACCATACTTCATTGAGAGGTTTCCCCTAACACTAGCTAAACCTCTTAGCCAGACATGATAGCGATAAACCAAAAGAAAATAAAAGACTAAGCCCCCCCCCCCCCCCCCCCCACACACACACACACACACAAAAGGTCCGTTTTACACAACCTTCAACTCCTATTTATACGACTATTTAAGAAAAGATCCAATTGTAGTTGAAATCTATAATTGGCATTGGCATTGGCAGGCTGATGACACGCGTCTAGACGTGTGCTTTCTACCATCCAGATGCCATTTTTAGTAAGTTCCTCTTCTTAAGTCTTCACCTTCTGTCACTCGCATCCGGACGCAATGCCCTCCACCGTCATTCGTGTCCGGACGTGTACTCTAGTATGCTTCTTTTTTTTCAACTATGCTCCTTTTCATGCTTTATCTCCTCCATTCTTGAGCCATTTTATTGCAAAATAAATACAACTCATCATTTATCAGCATAACATCAGTTCTTTAATAAATTATCATATTTACCAACTTTTCCTAACTAAATAATTGATTTTTTCTAATAAATAATGTAAGTATTAAACCTTAATCACACCCCTCAACCCAGACCTTGCTAGTCCTTAGTAAGGTAAACAAAAATAAAAATAAAAACAAAATCACTTTTGTACGATTCACAATTGCATTTAGCCCATGCAATAAGCCTTTAAATCCTTATGTTCTCCCTAGTGGACGAGTATAGTTTCGTGAAGGTTTCTAGACATGATACTCACAAACATCAACCTATAATCAAATATTTGAATAATAATATTATAACATAAATTGCTACTACAATATAAAAATTATAAGCTGTAACCTTTTTTATAAGCTCATACAAAGTAAAATATAGAACTCTACACTATAT